CCACATGCATGCGACACGATATTTTTTGTTTTCTTTGTGGCTGGTTTATTTATATATTATTTAATTTATTAACGTGCATTGAATCTTAGTATGGCACGTTGTTGACACTTGACAGCCAGGGTGTGACAATGACCGCCAAACTGCGTCAATGTGTAGTCCCTGTCTGAACCTCAATAAATACTTTCTACTTTGTTAGATATAAAATACTGCCTCCAACTCCCTTTTTAAATTATTTTATTAACCTTATTAATATTAATATAATAAAAATATAAAAAAAATAAAAATAAATAAAATTTTAAATAAATTCTTAAATAAAATAAAAAATAAATTAATGATGTAATATTATTTTTTATCTTTTTCTTACTTTTTAAAGTTAGTATAAAATTTTAATTTTTAAAAAAATCTCATTAACTAATTATAAGTGAATCAAATTATATTTTAAAAAGTTATTAATATTCAGGACCGAGGAGTATTGGATATTAGTTTATTGTTATATACTTTCATTATAAAAATAAGACAATTCAATTAAATTTTAAATTTTTTAAAATATTTTATAGTTTAGGATACTAATTTTTTTTCAAAAGTGTCTTTTAATTGGTATGGAGGGAGCACAATATTTTTTCAATTATACTCTTATTTTATTAAATAATTAATAAGGATATTTTGAATAAGTTAAATATTATATTTAAAAATACAATTGCAAAGATGATTTTTTTAAAAAAAATCAAGATATCAACCAATATTTTTTAGGAAATATAAATTAAGAATCGCATAATATATTAAATATATATAAGGAACTGCAAATCATAACACAAATTACACGACAAAATTATAAGCATTAAAAAAGCAAAACATATTGGAGATTGAAGTGACTAACTTTAACTTTATCCTTATCTACACAAACTAAACAAAATGAAAAATTTAAAGGTGGTACTGTGTTACTTTGTTTGAATGTTGAATCATGGAATCGCTTTGCTAATTTGGTTGAATCAATGAAAGATGGGCGACGGCACAAAGTTTTCAAAGCTCAAAAGCAAACGCAAAAAAGGAAAAAAAAAAATAACAGAGAGAGAGAGACATGCACATATATTATGTTTATATACGGACGTTTTAGATATTAATTTTTTTCAACTTTATATATATTAGTTTTATATTTATTAAAACGAAAGTAAATATTATGTTTAATATTAAATACATTATATATATAATATATTTTGGTGGGGTCCGGATAACTATTATATTTTATTAGAAAAATAAAAATTTAGAAGGGGCTGCGGCTCTCTAATCCCCTACATCTGCCACTGATCAAGATACTGAAAATGAGTACAAGAAAATATGAAAAAGTAGTAATCATAAAAAAAAGTTTAATCATAAACTTTTTAAAATTAAAGAAAGAATTACTTTAAAGTCTCATATAAAAAATTAAAAATACTTAAATTTTATAATAATTAATTTTTTTATGTGGGGCTTGTAGACAATTCCTTTTAAATTAAATCATTATAATTTACATTCCTACAAGGTCTTTAAATGTCATTTCTCTTTATTATTAATAATAATATTTCATAATGATAATAATAATAGTAATAATAATATGTATGTATATAAAGTAAATGTATATACGTATTCCCTTTCGTTCTATATAAATTAATTCTAATTACGTCATTGAAATCAAATAGAATTGTTAAAATATCGTTGTTATTTAGGAAAAAAAAAGAAATTTCTTAATTCACTATTTTTGATGCATTATATTTAAAAATATGTTTCTCTCATGTACTCTCCTCATTTTTATTTCTAAGAGAACAAAACTGTATCATACAATTTAAAAAAATTGATTAAATATATTAATTATATCTAAAAATAAAAAAATAAACTACATTATCCTTTATTTAACCCTTCATTAACCATTTCTTATAAATGTAAATGATGAAATTATAAGAGATAATTTAAATAATGTACAATAAATGTCTATTGAAAAATATGATTTTATTTATATAAAAATAAATTAAAAGTGATGATTTTTTCTATAAATCACAATGAAGGAGTAACATTTTATTCTATTAAAAAAATCATGAAATGATAAAATTAAAAAAAATTAATAGAGCGAGGAAATGGTTTGCTCAACCCCAATTAGCTAAACCCAATGAGGCAAAGCCATATTTCCCTTAAACATGTCATTTCACAAAGCTGGCATCAATTATTAGGACTCAGCCTTGCCTTAAAGCTTGTATTTTTTATTTTTTTTTACAAAATTTAACTTCATTTCAAAATATTCCACAAAATACAAAATACAAAATTTCATGTATAAAGTACAAATAATAATAAAAAATCATATAAATGTTCTCAATGTGTCCTAAGAAATCACTAAATGTTTAATTATCGGTCATTATCATTTGTGAACAAAATATTTTATTATTCCATTATAGGTCTCCCAATAATGAAACACTTTAGTAATTATGGTTTGACTTTTTGAATTATTATTTTTTTGGACAATACTTTCCGAAGGCTTGGGGCTGAGCAAGGGTTTCTTTTTTTGAAGAAAAAGATTGACTTAAATTGACAAAAAAAAAGAGAGGAAAATAATACAAATACAATAGCAATAATAGGAGACCTAAAAGAAGGGGATAAAGAAGTGCCGTGTGTGGTTGCGGTTGGTCTTCATAAAAGATCAGCCAACAAAATGATTCAAAAGAGAATTGATATCCTACAGCACAATATTGTGATTTAATTTATTCTGATTTCTCATCCAAACTAAAAAGCCTGGCCTGAATTTTCAATCTAATAATTAATAAGATACCTTTTTATATGAAGCTAATTCATTGTATTATATTTATAAATTATTTCTATCATTTTAAATAAATTTTTAACTATACTTTTATTAAATATACATATTTTAAAAATTAAATATCCTAACAATTAATAGCATTTCTGGCATTGAACCTGTGCAAAGGAATAAAAATAAACTCAATGACTCTTGTTTTATAAATGAAATTAAAATAAATATTTTTTTTATTTTTAACATTTAATTTTTTTAATAGAAATTAATTTAAATATTGGATGAATGAGATTAATAGATGAGCACCTTACATCTTTTATCCATTTTAGACAACTCCTGACCATAGATTAGGCTAAGACCTACATCCCAATGCTATCAACATGAACATTAATGTGCCCATTTGGATTTCAGTTGGGTATAATAAATTATAAAAATAATTAATTAAGTGATAGATTTAAATTATAATTAATTATGTTATAATGTAATCTATTTGAATACTATTTTTCTAAAATTAATTTTAATAGAATTGAAGATATTTGAATAATTTAATCATAACTAATTTTAGCTATATAAATTACTATATAATTTAATTTTTAAATATAAAATATTAATTTTTTGAGAATATAAAGGTTAAATTTTACTGAGAAAAAAAGATAAGAGAAGAGAATTTAATTTAATTTTTATTTAATATTGTGTCTTTTTTATAATTTTTTTGAACTTTTTTTTATAATTTTCTCCAATATTTTTGATCAATTTTTCTACAAAGCTGATCACCAGAGCTTTCCAAAAAATGCGCGTTTAAACTAATAATTGATTTTTAATTTTTTTTTGGCTGTTTGTATAATTTGGTTCAAAAAATGGATTTTGGACTCCAAAATTGATTATTACTCCTATCCAAACACACGCAATATTATTGTCTTGTCTGATACTCCTCGACGTTTGGAGTGACTTGTCCCAAAAATGGCGTCTGCCTTTCTTGATTTAGTCATATATATATATACACACGACACGATAATTTTTGTTCTCTTAGTGCGAGGTTTATTTATTTATTACTTAATTTATTAACGCGCATTAAATCCCAGTATGGAAGTTGTGACAGGCTGACAGCCACGGTGTGCATGTGACCGCTGGACTGCTTCAACGTGTTGTCTCTGCTGCCTCACTAAATGCTTTTCTACTTTTACAGAGATAAAATATGCCTTTAAGCCTTTATATATAAAATATTTTTAATTAAATTATGTGAATCAATAAAAATTAATTATTTAATTAAAAATATATTAATATTTTATTTTTACTCTTAATTATTATTAATAAAAAATAAATTATTTAAAGTAAATTAATAAATATATTTATATTTTTTAATTTAATAAAAATATAATGATTTATTTATTAAAAAAATAAGTTAACAATTCTTTATCTTTAAAGATAAAAAAAATTTTAAAAGACTTTTTATATGTAAAGGAAGAAAGAATAGGATATTAATTTTAATTTATTATTATATACTCTATTTTTTTATTTTAGATTATAAAATATTTTTAAATAAAATTTTATATATCAATAAATTTTATTAAATATATTTATCCAATCATTTAATATGTTAAAAAGAGAGTGATAAAAATTTAATAAAATTTTACATACCTCAATTGTATATTAGCAATTAAAATTTGAAACTTTTTCTATTTCTTAATATATATATTATAGTATATTTATAAATAACCTACATTTTTTATGTTAAACTTTTTTAACTTTATATATATATATATATATATATTAAAAAGAAAGTAAATATTATGTTTTGTATTAAATATATTATACCCAGAATATATTTTGGTAACTCTTACATTTTATTAAAAAAATTAGAGGTGACGATGACTCTTCAATTTCCCTATCTCTACCACAAGTCAAGATATTAAAAATGAGTATAAGAATCTGGGAAAGTAGTACTCATGAAAATAAAAAAGGTTTAATCATAAAATTTTTAAAATTAAAGGAAGAACTACCTTGAAATTTCACGTGAAAAAAATTTAAAAAATCTGAATCTTGTAATAATTAGTTTTTTTTTATAAAATTTTTACGTAATTATCTCAAAATTAAATCATTGTAATTGGCATTCGTAAAAGGTCTTTAAATGTCATTTCGCTTTAATAATAATAATAATAATAATAATAATAATAATAATAGTAATAATATATTTTGCTTGCCCTACACAAACCTGGATGATTGTGAACAAATCAAATTTACATATATGAATCACATCACATGCTCTACTTGCTCAAAACTGCTTTCGTTCTGAACCAGAAAGAAACACCAGAGAAGAACCTCGGAGGAAAAAAAACATGGCGGACGACAACAACAACAGCAAAGAAAGCAGTTCGAAAGAGCCATTGTTGTCGAAGAAGAAGAATCAGTACCATGAAAACTGCCCAGGCTGTAAGGTGGATCGAGACAAGGAAATCAACAGAGGCTTACCTGTGAGGCAGCTTCTCAATATCTGGATGGTCACTGTGTGCACCGGTGAGTGATTATTTGGTTAATTAATTAATTATTATGTTTAATCAAGTTTAAAGATAATCCAGTTTTACGTCATTGGTTTTTGAAATTTATCATGCTAAATCAACCTATTTTTCGTTGATTTGTTTTACTAACTAATACCTATCTTAGACATTTTCGGCAGTCTTTTCCAGTCACGAAAATATCGTTTAAGTCTAAATTAAGTCAATTTTTATAACTCTTTTCAACATTGAAGTTAAAGAATCTCATATTCATTATCAGGTATTCTTCACCTGTCATGATCAAATTATTTTTAAGAAAGCTTTTGGTCAGAAAAAGTGGCTTGCCGCCGGTGAGATTTTCGGCAGCGGCGGGCGGTTGACGGTGACTGGCTGGCCACCTGTCTGCTATTTTTGGCAAATGAATATTTTTTTAAAATTATAATTATAGAACAGATTTTTAAAATAAATTTCACTATTTCGAGTATCATGCTGCTTTTTTGTCCTTTAGTCAAAGATATCCTTCCACGCTATTTGTTATTTAAAGTTTTGCTTTGATATCTTAATTTTATAAAATATTTTTCGGTTTTTTAATTTTAACACAGTTAATTTTATTTAAAAATTGTCTTGACAAAATATTATGAAATACTAATGTGTTAAGTTTAATTTTTTAAAATAATACTGTTTGGCTCAAACAATTATCATCCGAGACTAGCAATATTGTTTTCTTTGACCAAAAAAAAAGGGCTAACAGTTAAGGGATTAAAATTAAATTTTATATGAAGTTGGAGGATTAAATTTAATTGTTATTGCAAAATTAATTTGTTCTTTTCTAATTCTTGGGGAAAGCCTATACTGGAATTGTATTACTGTTTTTTTTTCTCTCTCTATTTTTCTTTTTTGCGAAGAAGCAGTCAATGATTCAGTACATGAAAAAGGTTTCAAAACAAACAAAAAGTTGAATTTATTTTTTGCAGATGAATTATATCTATTTGAGTATTTATTATCATATTTCATGCTCACAGATTCTCCAGTCATTTATTCCTACTTCTTCTTTTTTTTTTTTTCCCATAGCAAAATTAATTATCTGATTCGTTCTTTCTTGGCTTTTGTACAGTGCTGCCTGTATCCTGTCTCTTCCCATTTCTTTATTTCATGGTAGGTTTGTGAAAGCGTATGCTTGCTTCAAGATGGGAACAGAAGCTAATAAATAGTTAGTTTGATTAATTACCAAAATTAACTTTTTCAGGTTAAGGAAAACTTATATACTTAATTTTATATATTTAAAATATTTATTTTTAATTAATTCAAGATATTTGTATCATTTATAGATTATTTATTCTAAAATAATTTTTTATTATTAATATTATGAACACATTAAAATTCATTTATTTTAAGTTGATTGGATATAAATTTATTAAATATACGAGGCTAAGTATATAAGTTTTGTCTTCAGTTATTATATTTAATTTTTCAAATTATTTTGGGGAATTTTAATAAATGAATTTGAGTATCAGTTAACTGTTCAATCCTACCTTTTTTCCATATTCCTAATTATTTTGGGGCATTTTAATAAATGAATTTGAGTGTCAATTAACTGTTCAATCCTACCTATTTTTCCATACTATAATTTTTAGTCCTTAAACTCTCTTTCAATTATCAATTTGGTTTTTAAAATTTAGCTTGGTACAACTTAGTCTTTGTAATTTATTGAATTATAGTTCTAAGTCAAGAAATTATAGAGACTGTGCTGTTCTAAATCAAAGTTCAGTGATTGAATTGATAATTGAGAATAAATTCATTGACCAAAAATTATATTTCCCTTTTTTTAAACTAAGAAATTGGTTTTCTCTTCTTGTTCTGATACAGTTGGTAGAAACTTCTGCATTTAATGCTTGTTTCAATGTCAACATCTTTTTCTTGCAACAAATGATGAACTTTTCTATATCTTCCTGATTTCTCTTCAAGGTTTTTGTGCAAGCAAGACAGTCCTTATATTGCAGTTTTCTCTCCTATTCTTCTACGTCAACCTAAATGGTTTGTTTCTTGAGATTGCCACGAATGGATTCCGTTTGAATCATCTCAAATTGTAGCTTTTGACTTTAATAACAAATACTTCCTCCAATCCTATTTACAGAAAAGATCTTTTTTTTTTTGTCTTTTTATCACAAGTTTTTTCATTTTATTCCCATTAAATGTTGGAGAGAGAAAGTTTGTTATTAAAGTTAAAAACTTATTAAAATTTTATAAAGTTAATGAATTTTAAAGTTTTTTTTTAATTTTAATGCAATATGTTGAAAATGATTTATAAAGGCCAACCGAGTATATACTAAGTTAAAAGCTCAGCTAGCTAATACCTTGGCATACATATAGAAAAGCATTTCCCTCCCGTGAGAGCCAATCATGCTTGCAATAGTCTAATGCCACTTTAACCATGAAAGAGTACTGTTCAGTATTGTTTAATGTTCATTTCTATTGCATACAACTAATTCAGAATAGAAGATGCTCTATTGATAAAAATTTGCTTGCAGGTCAGAGATTTTGATGTTGCAAAAACAGAGGCAGATATCAGTTCCTATGCTGGTTGGTTGGGTAAGGTTCTTTTAGCCTTTTCATTCTGTTTTTTTTTTTTAAATATATATGGCTATTTGTTCAAGTATTGTAAGTTTAGAAAGATTTATAAGGTTTTAAAATTCTGATCTCCATATGACATATGTTGTAGGATCGTCATTCATGTTTGGCAGAGGTTTGACATCAATTCCATGGGGAATGTTCGCTGATCGATATGGTCGAAAATATACTATAGTTATGGGCCTTGCTTCAATGTAAGCACCCTTGAACTGATTTGGATTTCTTTCTAGCTCTGCTATAAACACTGATGAATAGAAAGAGGATGGAAATTAGATTATTTAGTGAATCTTGGAACTTTGTTTCATTTATTTTCTGTTTTATCCTTTTGTTTTTCTTATCATGGACTCTCTGCAAGATAAATTGAAATCAATTAATCCACCATATGGTATTGATTCTTATTTGATTTCAGTGTAGTGTTTAACACACTATTTGGCCTTAGCACAAGTTTTTGGATGGCTGTGAGCACAAGATTTCTTCTTGGAAGCTTAAATGGTTCACTTGGGCCAATAAAGGTACCATTTATAGATGTACCAGATTCTTATCATCTAAAAATGAATGAATTTACATTTGGTCTTTAAAAGATATGATTTGTCTCTTTTTTGGTCCTCCGAAGTTTTAATCTCTCATTTTTAGTTCTTCAGAGATTTTTCTGTCATCTCTATCATTCGACATTTAACCTGGTTTTTAATTGATAATTAGTAGGGAGGGACGACATATCAACTTGTTCTATTTGTGTCTTCGCCCTTGGAAGTCAATCAATCTTTCTTTCCTTTAAAAGACTTACTTGTTCTATTTTACTCTAACTTCCACTGACATATCAACTTTATTACAAGGGCATTTTAGTCTTAACATTTTAATTTTAGACATAATTATCAAGATTAACTGACTTTCATAAACTGTATGAGTTGGTTGAAATTCTCTTATATTCAAAAATGGAGGAAGTATATCATTTTTTCATGTAAGCCTGATGTGATTGTTAAATGAGTAGCTGTCTTTGAAAGTAGGCATATGACACAGCACCATAACATTTTGATGCACAGTTAATGGCAGCTACAAAGGTCATATTAACTTCATATTTGGCCACATAGCTCTTTTTTTTTTTTGGTTAGTTTTTTTTAATGGGCTGAATTTGATGGTGATATTGAAGATGAAACAATTTTTAAGAGACTGAAAATTTACATTGAACAGAACCAGGGCTTAATCAGAAGTTTGAATTTGTGTACTTGAATGTCAGTCATTCTGTTTATTTATTTTTCCCCTTTTAGAAGATTTGTTCTATTTGGTTCTAACTTCCACCAACATATTAACTCTGTCACTAGGCTTATGCCACTGAAGTTTTTCGTGAAGAACACCAAGCTTTAGGACTCTCAACTGTAAGTCTAGCTTACTTTAAATAATATAACTTTTAGTCTTTAAAATTTCTTTCAATTATTTATTTAATCATTGAACGTTGACTCATTACAACTTAGTTCTTGTAGTTTATTGAGTTAAGAAATTATAAACACTAAGTTGTTTTGAGTCAAGAAACTAGAGAGACTGAGTTGTTATGAGTAAAAATTCAGGAACTAAAAATTATGTTTTCCTATTATTGATTATTCGAAATACATGTTGTTTATGATAATTCGATTGTGTGATATGGTTTCAGGTTAGTTCAGCTTGGGGCATAGCTTTAGTCATTGGTCCAGCACTGGGAGGCTATCTGGCTCAGGTACTTTGTTCCTTGCCTTGTGTAGCTAACTAGATCCTGAGAATGGGTTGGTTTTTTCAGAGATACATAAAGACGGTTTTTTTGGTACCGAAAAACCCATCTAAGCTGAATTCCGAACAGATTTAGCGTTAACGTAGAGTTCAAACTTACCATTCTCTAAAGTCAAGTTATAAACAAGCTTTCTCTCATTCACTGTAATTTTGTTCTTCTCTTGAACTGTACATTGCAAGTGTGTGGCAACATGCCCTTGAGCACACTTATCTCTTGTTCATCTAACAATTTGGGAATTTTGGGATGTCAGCCAGCAGAGAAATATCCACGAGTATTTCCAAAAGGTTCCTTTTTTGATAAGTAAGTATACTTACCCTACTTTTAAATGTTAACAGTAAAGTTGAATTCTTTTTTTCTTCTTTTTTTAAATCATTTCCTTGTTGATGTGCTGAAATTTGTTTGTCCAAACACAAATGGCCTACAGGTTTCCATACTTCTTGCCCTGCTTTATAATATCAGCCTTCGCACTTGCTGCATTAGTTGCCTGCACCTGGATCCCGGTATGTATAGCCATAAATACAAGTCTTACTTCTTAATTTATGCTCAATTATTCTTTGCCATAATTTCATAGTTTCACTTATATGCCTTATTCCTTAGTAGTTTGCACGACACTAAATATCCCGCTTATTTTTATATGTAGTACTAAAGTGTTTCTTCTCCATTCTTTCAGCATTTTCTTCTAAACACTTTCACATTTCAGTAAGAATGCCAGCAAGACTAATGGTTCAGATTAAGATAGAAGGGATACCTTCTGATATTAAAATTTCTATTTTGAAAATCTGCAGGAAACATTGCACAACCACTATGTTGGTGATGAGTTCAATAAGGATGAAGAAGCTATAGAAAATGAAATCACAGAAAAGAGAGTTCAGAGAAATGAAAACCTCCTCCTGAATTGGCCATTGATGTCTAACATCATTGTTTATTGTGTTTTCTCACTGCATAGTACGGCTTATAGCGAGGTATGCTTCTTGTGTTTTGCATTTCATATAATATGTATGTTGCTTGGACTTTCTTGATTTCTATCTTGTTATCCATATCTGTATTTATTGATTGTGATCTGACATCTAAGCTGATTGGTGGTACAAATTGACATTCATTAAAGGCAACAATTTCATGTTTGATCCTTGAAAAAATGATGTGATTAATTATCATGTGGATACTCTAAATTATGTTTTTCATCTCTTTGATTCATTTGATTGATATTATGCCCTCCGGTCCTTAACACAAGACACCTTTTAAAAGTTTTGTTTGGTCCTTAATAGAAGACACCTTGTGAAACTTGATAAAGTATTATTGAGTTATTTTCAAAAAGGATTAAATGGCAAATTTTCTCTTAGATTATAGGTCTAGTAATTTTGCTGCAATATTCTCTGTCAACTTTTGAAAACAGTGCAATATTACCCTACCATTAACAAATGTTAATTTCGACTGTTAATTGACCTCAAATATTATAGAAATATTTTTTTTTGTAATTTTTTAGGTCCTTGTTTGTAATTTTAGGTACTTTTCTGTAATGTTTTTGTCATGTTTTTTGTAATATTCTAATCAGCTAACGGTTAAAGTTCACTTTTATTAATAGTAAAGATGACGTTGCATTATTTTTAAAAGTTGAAGGAAAACGTTGCACGAAAAATAGTTTAGGGTCCTAATCATTCATGGACCCATAGTTTAAGGGTGAAATTATCATTTTCCCTTTCCAAAAATGCCAACATATCCAACTGGTTCATTTGGGTGGCATTGACTTTAAGATTTAAATTTAAAGTTAATAATTTTAATCAAGGATAAATTGGAATTTGAAAAAAAATCAAAACTTTTAGCTAATTTTAACCGCATTTCTTAATCCATGTTTGATTAAAAGTATCTTATAAATAGGATCAGAAGGAGTACATGATATTCCATAAAGTTGAAAGAAATTTTCTCAAACACTAAAGTGATTAAAAAAAAAAAGTTCATGGAGTATCAAGCTGACAATGACACCATCATTTGTGGAGCAAAATGAGGTTTTTGTCTTTCATCTAATAGGCTATATGTTAGCACTATTTTACTTTTGCAGGTTTTCTCTTTATGGGCTGTCAGTCCTCAGAAGTTGGGTGGTTTGGACTTTACAACTGATGGTGTTGGTAATGTTCTTTCAATAGCAGGTATATCCTTGATGGCTATGGAGTTTTAGATAATATTTATGTTGTAAATAATGATTCCTTCCCGGCTTTCTAACCTCAAATACTATATGCAACAATATATCCCTATACTTTGATTGCGTTTGGATTTTAATAGTTTTATTTCGTTATTCTCTCTTTCCCAGTAGTTCGATTGGTCTACAATGTTGCTCCTTATAATTTTAAAAGTGCACTTAAAGACCATTAGATGGCGTTCACGGAGTTAATTTTGTTGTAACTTTGCTAACCACTTTGTTGACATTGTAAAAATATGCTGACATGGAAATAAATTGACTGGGTATAATTAAAAACAAAAAGGTAAGGGTGCAGAAAAGCTTTATTTTATATTTGACTTAAAACAGAATGTGGGAGGCGAAAGCAAGATTAAGTATATGTCAGCAAAGTGGTTAACATAATGAAGTACACATCAGCAAAATGAATTCCGTTTGTGCTAACTCATGGTCCTTATGTGCATTTTTAAAATTACAGGAACTAACGTTGCGAACAATTCAAACTAAAACAACTGAGAACAATGAAATAAAATTATGAGGATTAAAAACAAAACAGAATCAAAGTACATGGACCTACTGTTGTATTTTCCCTTTCAGTAATTTTAATTTAATATGTGAATACCTGTACTTTTGTCTGTTTTGAGTTGATAGACCTTTGGGAAAGCCTCTTTGGTGTTTGTTTTCAAATTCATGAACAAAAAACATAACTTACAAAGATATATAGTCTTTACTTGTTTCCAATGTATGAACATATCTTTCTCTTCAAGATTATGATGGTCAGTACTGACCTATCCTCAACTGGTCAGGTGTTAGTCTGTTGCTCTACCAAATCTTCATTTATCCATTTTTGGAGAAGCTTTGTGGACCTTTGAGACTTTCACGCATTTCAGCGGTTAGCTTTCTCTTTCATGCAGTAATTACTATGATTCATCATTTTTCATTTTCTGTTGTTTATTAAACTGTACTGTTTTTGTTTTTTGGTACTGAGTGCAGGTTATATCCATACCTGTCTTGCAAAGTCACCCATTCATAGCATTGTTATCAGGCTTTACAACGCACCTGTTGATAACTATTGCTTCTGTCCTTGTGTTTTGTCTCTCTGTAAGTGAATCTGTTTCTTGATTTTAGCATGAACATTGACATAGACACAGGGACAAGCATTAAAGGGTATTTTTGCCCCTTAACTATTCACTTAGGAGCACGCAAATCCTAAACTTTCATGTAGTGCAAGTTCAAAAGACTCATAACTTTTTACCATTTTCAAAAAGTTGAATGGAAAAATTGCACCACATGAAAGTTTATGATATCAGGTGCTTCTATGTGAATATTTGAAAGGCAAAAATTCCCTTTAACCTTTTAAAGTATTTGAACACTCAATTATTGTGCATATGCGACTTTAAAGAAACACTAACAAGTGTTCATATGCAATTTAAGGTATTTTCAGTGTAATATGGTGTATACTTCAAGTGTTTGTTGGACAAGGACACAATTTTTTTTTTCCAAGTGTGCTTCATAAGTTGTACTTTTTCTGCACGCAAGGAGGAAAAGGAGAGAGAGAAGAGAAAGAGAATCATTGTTAGCTTTCAAACATATCAGATGATGGAAATATGAATGGATCCTATTGCCCTTTTAAAACATTCAAGTTTAATCAATAGAGCAATTAAAAGTGCTAATTAGGCTTTTCAGCCAAAAAAATCAAAATAAAAGTACTAATTAGGCTTGTCAATATTTAAATTCCACTGTCACTAAGAAAAACATCTTCAGTCACTTGTGCTCTTTTGTTCTAAGAAAAATATTTTAAAGATGGAAGACTCTTCTGACAGAAATTGAGGACTAGCTGGTGAAAATAAGGACTTTAGAGGGGCTAAAAGGGAAATTAAGCCCATGAAATATGGGAATGCCAAAAACAGAACTCTATCTCTTTCACAAAAACCTACATACTTTATGAACTCACCTGATTGTAAATTTTTTTCTTTGTCAGTCAACCACTATTACTGGTTTATTCCTTCTGCAAAACCAAGCAGTGGTAAGGTTTTCTTAGTTCAGTTCATTATTTATTATATTTATATTTATTTTTATTTTCAAGTTGTGGAATTTTCATGATTGAGTTGGGCTAATATGTAAAAACAGGAACAACACCAAAGAGGAGCAGCTAATGGTATTGCTATGGCCGGTATGTCAATTTTCAGAGCAGTTGGCCCTGCTGGAGGTGGTGCAGTGTAAGTTTACTTTTTCATTTACTTGTTTAGATTCTTATATGACTCTTCAAATTTAGTATAAACTTGTCAAGAAAGGTTCATGTCAGCTCATCTAACTCATAACTTTTTTTTATTTATTAAAGAACAAAAAATTTGGCCAAAATGGAAATGCAAGTGTGGATTTAGTTAGTGACTCAGTGTTTTCATTTATTATCTGAGACTTTAAAGATGATTTTCACTCCAAAAGTCTTCACATTTAATTTTGATGTATTCCCTCCTGTCTTATGTATATACTCCTTGGGTCCTCTTTATAGGACAGAAAGAAGATTAATTTTGATCTTGTATAGGACATTTCACTATTTTTTATGCATATCTTTACCTTCCTAGCCTTATTAAATGTTAGGAAAAATTATTAAAAATAATTTTTTTTTGTACTTATTAAGGGATAGAGGTGGAAACTTAATAAATTTTAAGACAGTTAATGAAATTTAAGGTTTTTTTTTTTAGTTCTTGTAAAACATGTTGGCAGTGATTTATAAATAAGATTAAAGGAAGTATAAGTTTTTTCTAACTATCTCACCGAAATAAATGAGAGATAGTTAAATCATTTATATTGTCTAAAAAGAAGAAAATTTCTCAATTTATTTTTATTAAATGTATTATCTTTAGGGACGCTTTCTCTCTTATTTGTAACCTCTTGCCTTGCTCATAGAAAATTGTGAAATGATAAAATTAAAAGAAACTAATTAATAATATATCTTTTTATATAAAGTGACTTGTAAACATGATTATTAATTTCTTCTAGAAGATGAATTTTGTCCATAAGCCTTAGTTAAGCAATACCAATATGTATTTTCTCTGATAAAAACTGTTCAAGTGAAATTCCATTGCTGGTTTTTTCTTTTTGTTTTGTTTTTTAATCTGTAACACAATTCCTTAAATGAACACATTGACTAACTTGTTTTTCCCACAATATATAATATGTTGATTTGAAACTTATATGTTGTTCACTAATTATGATCTTGGTCGATGCAGATTAACTTGGTCACAAAAGCGGTTAGATGCTTTTTTCCTCCCAGGTATGAAGCTCAGCTAATCTTTCTATGCTGGATTCTGTTTATGTATTACCTCTGCCCCATTTTATAAGATTTTTGTTGAAGTGATTTTAATGTCCCATAATGTAATCTGTTTTGAGAAAAATAATGATTCATTAATTAAGCTTATTCCAAAATTACCCCTCATTTCACCCCTTAAATACATGCTACTTCGTTTCTAATTCGCCCCTCATAATTTACATTGACCAAAAATAATTTATGATTGCTTATGTTGATTAACATAAGGCATTTTAGTCCAATTTTTTTATTTTCAAACACAATTATTATGGTTAACTAACTTTTATAAATTGTGTGATGCATTTTTTTTATATATAGAAACAGAGGTAGTATATTATCTCTCCTCCTTAATAAATGAAGGGTATTTTTGGTAGGTCATTGAGTAGTTAAGATTTTATATTTTATTTAATTGCTTCATTGATATTCAGTTGCATCAAAAAATGTAGAGTTGGGAATAAAGGTTTGAGCTTGAAAAAATTGTTATTTTTTGAAAAATCAGGCTTTTAGGCTTAGCCCTGATAAGGTCCTAAAAAAAGGGGCTCGCGCAGCCTTCCAAACCCTGTTCCCCAAAATGTTGATGATTTTTCAAGTATTGTGTTGTCAAAATAATTAATATTGGTTCTTTTGCCATTTATTTAATACAATATTGACGGATATTTTATTAATTTTTTACACACGATTACTTTGTAAGGTCTATTTCTTGGTTTTGATTAATATTATACTTTATGATACACAAGTTTTATGTTTATTGAATTTGATAAGGTTGATCTGGATTAAAAATTTCTATCTTCGTTTAAGATTCTACATCTATATTTGTATTTATTTATCTTATTAAATTTCTTATTTTTTTTATTTTTTTTAAAAAGGCTCGCAGATTCGGCTCTAAACCTTTTCAAATAAAGGTTGGACTTCAGATATCAACCTTTTTTTTTTTTTTGAGAAAGCAAGCTCAAGGACTTGAGTGTTTTAGGGTTGGACCCATAAATGCCAAGTCCTTAGGGATTGGGCCCATCCATTGTCCCACCTCCAAGAAAATGTCTTATACAAGACCACGCGTGTTCATGAAAAATAGACTGATTCTGAATTCTGAGAAAATCAGGATATCGATTCCCTTCTGTTTCATATGATTAAGTGTAATACTGAAAGCTCACTGACCATTAGACATTTAAGTGCAGGTCCTCAGATGGTATTTTTTATGCTGAACCTAGTGACAGCACTTGGAGTGCTGATGATGTTCAAACCATTCCTGGCTGAGGAAAAGACAACCCCATCACAACAGACACAATGATATCACCAATAATATGTTGCTGTTGAAGAGTGAAGCAAGCATATAGAAAGAAGGCAAAAGCAGAAAAAGAGAGAGAGAAGTGGAAAGAGAAGGACTCATCTGCTTTTTCTTGTGAAGAGTAGAATCATGGTGACTGCATCAGCATTTTGGTTATTCATGTTAGTCATGAATCCAATAAGTTGTCTACTTAATGGCAATTTATTATATGCATGTTTTGGTTAGTTGTTATGTTGACACTAGCTACTCATTTCACTTTTGACAATTTTGTATCTTGAATGTAACAGTGAATCTCAAGTTGGCAATGTGTTTGGTAATTTGTATAAACTGTTTTACCGGAGGATTTGAATTTATATTGGAGCCCATGAAATTTTTCATCATGATTTTAAATTTATTTTATACTTTAGTTATTCGAAGTTTCAATCACTCCAACCTTTTTGTTCTTTTCATGTTTTTACTTAGAAGTAAATTTATCATTTTCAATCTTCCGCTTTCTCTTTAAATCTCAACTTGCTTTTATTCTTCCTTGAAAATTTTTTATACTGTCTGAAATATATATATTTTTTAAAATCATCAATGAATTGGGGAAAAAATGAGAATAGGAATCAAAATTTAAAAGTATGTTGTATATGCAAATGAAATCTTGATGCAATGTTGTTTAATATACACATGTAGAATATGAAAAGATTAAAATGCTCTTTTTATTTTTATTTTTTAAATCTTTCCTTGAGAACCACCGTTGTTGAAGATCCTCCATCATCAATTTAGTTTGTGTTTCAACTTGAGAATGTTTTTTTTAAGACGATAGCTAGGAATCTATTATTTTAAAGTAAAAGGATGTGTTGAGATTGATCCACAACAGTAAGTCATACTATCAAAGTTCAATTTATTGAACTAACAAAGACATATTTAGTTGATAAAAATTTGACTCATCATCTAAAAGGTTATGGGATTAAATGTTACTATCAATGTGAGGACTTTATTAATGAATTATACAAGCAATTTAAGTCTAGAGATATATCTTATTTTTGGTGAGCTTTCGAAACTCAACTCATCCAAATATTTTTATATTAAAAAAAAAGTTCAATTTATTGAGCGTAAGATTTCTTCCCCCATTGTTTTGCGGATCTGTGGGCTTACCTGATCACACATCAAGGTCCTCACATTAAGAGTTGGACGACTTAATCCAAATCAATTTCTTCCTGTTGTTTCAATCAGAGTTGTTTGTTATTCATTTTAGTTTGATATACTAAGTTATTGGGCCTAGTGGGCTTTTTCTTTTTGGATCTTTGGTGGATGGGTAATGTAATTGAATATGGTTCAGCTTTTCTCTATTTTGCTATTTTTAACAACATAATAATTTACAAGCTGAAAATATAGAAATAGAAATTTTATACAAATGGATACAATTTACAAGCTCAAGAAAACTCAACCTCTCAAAGCTGGATCAAATAATAAATTATTTCAGTCACTTGCCAAATCCATTTCCAAAATTAAAAAATGTAGAACGTGAAAAGTTAAAAAGATGTGCATAACGTCTTAATCAATAATAATAAGAGATGCATTTAAAAAAAAGAGAAAAAAAAAAAAGGCTTGCTTCACACATCCTCACCTTCACCATAGCTTCATCCTTCATCTCTAGTAACATAAATTAAATAATTTAACTTTAAATAATGATTACTTAATTATTATGATATAGGGAGTTTCGCTCTCATATTTCATACAAGCAATCTAAATAAAAAAATCTTATAAGATCAAAAATTACTCTCAGATCTCATGTCCTTTATTAAAATTGTCAAATTGTAATATTAAAGTAATCGATAATTGTTAAATAGTTTTTAGTGGAGTTGTTCAATTAAAAACTAAACAATACTCTCTTTGTTAAAAAAATATAACAATTTTTTAGGTTAAATATTAAAAAATATAAAATATTTTATATTTTTTAATGTGTAATTAATGAGCTCTTTTTAAGAATATCCTTGATAAATAAATCACTCAATTTTCTCATTAAATAAGGATAAACATAAAAAAATGATATTAGTTTAATAAAAATTACCTAACTTATTAGGGATGAATTTTAATTAAAAATATCTTATATTTTTCTAATGAATGGAGTAATAATTAACAATTTAATATTTTAAATCTAAAATTAAAATCTAAATTCACCAATCCAAATATTACCTAATGAAATTATGATGTATGTCCTATAAGAATCCCCCAACTAGGTGAGGGGTGCTCAGTTAATTAGTTGAGGGAATCAAATAAACTTATTTTGAAATTTTGGATTTGTGTTGTGAGATATACAATCATGCTAAATAAAAATACCAAAAATATTCCCAAAATATCCATGAAACAGTTATCAGTAAGAACTTATACAATGACGGTCAGATTAATTTGGATAGGCGATATTAATAATTCAAATTTTTCAAAATACTAGGTGATGAAATTATAAAAAAAAAATCCCCCACTTTAATCAATTCATATCAAAGCAAACAACGCTTTTACAACAAAATATGTAAAATCTAAATTATTATTTGAAACATGATGAGTCAATCAAATCAAAAAATCCCCCTCTGCTATGGTATAACAGGCTTATCTTACAAGAAGCTGCTATTAGGTGATAACCGGGTCCTGGGTACGGGCACGGGTACGGGCCCACCATATCAGAATTTAGGCTCTTGTATTAATTCTCTGTTCTGTTATTTCCTTTTCGGTAGTGTGCACGCGAAGCTCAATGAAATGTCCTAATGCATCCCTCACAGTTAGACTCAGGAATAAAGGCCAGATCTTGAGAATCATTCGTTTAAATTTATTTTTATAAGAATTCAAACTTAAAAAAAAATGATTTTTTTTTTAAAAAGAAGACTTTTAAGCCCGATCCTGATAGGTCTTGAAAAAATAGCTCAGACGGCCCTTTTAGATTTATTTTTATTTTTTCTTAAAAAATAAAATATTTTAAATTTTTAAATTAAATTTAAACTTTAGAATATTTGTTTATACTTTAAAATTAGAATTTCTATCATCTATTTTTAATTTTTAAACATTATAATTTGTAATTTTAAAAAATATATGAAATATTATAATTAAAAATTTTAATTTTTAAAATTTTTAAAAAATAAAAAATAATAATAAGAATTTATGATCTGACTCTGAACCTTTTATATAATGGTTAAACTTTAAAAAATAAAATATTTTAAAAAAATTAAATTTAAGAATTTGAGTCTCTAAAAATCGAGCCCATATAAGTTGAGCGGCCTGTTCCCGACTCCACTCACAGCACCATTTTACTGTTTGATTGATTGGACAGTCAGGATATTTTGTTTTGAAAGCAAGTGCATTAAACTTAAAAGGCTGCTCGTGTCTATGCATGATGATGCCTTTACACACACGTTGCCTTTTGCCCTTTTGGTACTGTTGGTTAGATATAATGAATTATAGTTTTTTTTTGTATTATTAATTTTTATCTAAATACCGCATATATGCATGTGTGAGAGAGACATTTCATATTTAATGGGTTCCGCTCGAACTAACTCATTAGCAAGTTGTGCTAACTTAAATAAATATTTTAAATTCAATTCCTAAAATTGCAGTCCGGTTAAATATTCTTTTTAATATCTTTAATAAGTGGTTTTTACTAACTTTATTAATATCAATACAAAAAATTAAAAGAAATAAACATGTGTTAAATTTCAAATATACTCATATATAAAAAATTTAAAAAAAGATGTTGTGTTACTTTCAATCTCTTACAAAGGATAATTTTAAATATTACGTAAAAAAACTACACTATAACTTATAAATATGATCAAGTGGACTTCTTAAAATGTGTCCTATAAATGATACCGGAAGGAATACTTGATATGAGAGCTTGTAATTCAAAAATATCCTACAAGTGCTCAATTCATTTTAATCCTATTAAGTTCTTGAAAAAAAAATTACACAATATATTTATAGCTAAAATATACAAGATTTGTTAAACTTTAAGACAGTTGTACGGAACCTCCTTAGCCTTTTATTTTTTACCATAGTCTCCCTTGTTGTTATTTTTTAATTATCTTAATAATAAAAGTTGTCATGTTTTATTAAAAAAAGACACATGGTAGTTTGTGTGATATCTGATGTAGACTAATAATAATGAAAAAATATATAGATACAATTTTTATAAAGCTATTATTAGCTTACATGAAATGCCACACAAGCTACTATGTTTCTTTTTTAATATGACATAACAACTTCTATTAGTAAGATAATTAAAAAAATAATAGTATGTGAGCCTATTTGTCTATGATCAAAAACAAAGTAAAAGGTTGGAAATGTTAATTTTAAACCTTTAAATGTGGGGATATTTGTACAACCTTCTCAAAGTTAAAAAAATTTTATATATTTTAACCCTATTAGTAATAAATAAAAAATGTATGAATATTTAAAAAAAGATTAATATATAATTTAAACTTTAAATTATAGATTTATGGGCGATTTAAATCAAAACTTTTATTTGGTGTATTTTTAATTCTAAACAATTAAAATTGAAATTTTTTTTACTATTAAATTTAAACTAATGGCCATTACTTTTTAAAAAAATTAAGCATAATGTGTGATTTTACTCAAAAGACGGTAAGAGAGATGGAGGGACAGTATAATATGATAAAAATCACATAATAAGCCCCATTTTTTTTTTTAAAGTAATGATAATTTGTTTAAATTTGATGACGAGAAAAATTACTCTAACTTAATTATTTAAGATTTATAATATACCAAATAAAAGATTGTATTCAAATTACCTTTAAACTCATAATTTAAAATTCAAATTATATATTAATTTAAAAAAAAGAAAAAAAATGAAAATGTATCTATTTTCCGTTCTCAATTGTCTCTGTCTTTGGTCCTCACCCTTAAATGATACTGTAATTGCTTATCGCCAATACCTATCACAAATGATATCTTAGAGCACTCGTCTTGTCAAGAGTCACCACATGTACACTGACACAAGAGGCGTACGCCTTTGGCACCACGTGAACATAATACATGATGTAATTTTGAGCTTTCCATTTCATTCTAAAACAATATTTTTATTTAAATTATTTTTTAAATATTATATTTATTAATGTAAATATTATAAAATATTTTAATATTAAATTTGGATTGTCGCCTGTGCTCATTAAGGAATAAGCATTATAGCACTCATTACATTTGATGAAACCTAAACAATATAAATTAAAACTTTTTATTTCATTTTACATTTATTAAAATAAAAATTTATAAAAATTTTAATAAACATGTTCATCATCAAGTTGGTCAGCACAGATTTAATCTGGATGATTGAATTTAAAATTAAATTTTTTTATAATTTTAAAATTTGACAATCCATATATATTTTGAA